TCTGCTTCCTCAGCTCACAGTTTTCTGCATTAAAATTTTTTCCCAACCTTATAAAAAAATTGACAAATTTAATTACATATTTTTTAAAACAAACATCATGTCACATTTCTCAATCTACTAATCCAACTCAACAAAAATTTCTCTAGCTGGTTACCACTGACCACCAGGTTGTAGAGCAAATGAACATTTCTTAGCCCTTACCTTAATGAATATATTTACAGCATTAATACTAAAGATAATGCCCTCATTCTTGAAATCCTCCAGTTTAATTAATTTTCCTTCCTAGTTTATAGTCAATAATCACTACTCGTAACTCTAACTTCTGCTAAAGCAATAATCACCACACTAGGTGCTCACATGTATTAGCTCAGTGTTTTTTCGAAATGCTGTTATTACTCATTAGTGGTTCAAAGCAGCTTTTTAAATAAATAAAATAAATTAGAATTAAAAATATCCAAATGTATGCCATATAGTAAGGTTAAGTATTATTCTGGAAAATTTATGTGTGTATGTATTCACAATGTAAAATTTAGTTCCTATTTTGGATCACAGTCAAAAAACTTTGAAAGACACTGTGTCTAATTTAATCACCAGAGCCCAATCTATGAGGCACATATAATGATTTACACTTTTTAATAAAGAAATAAACTGAGTATACAGAAGTTGTATAATTTGTCTCTACTCAACCAGTTGGTGTGACAACCAAGCATAGCTTTATTTATCTCATCTCCAAGTACGCAAGGGACATTTATATTTCTCAATGTGTGTGTCTCAAATGCACTTCAACCTCAGTATTTGCAAAACCTGTACTCAATTTCCACACATTTTCTAAATTGCTAATTTTCTAATTTCCAGTGTTTCTCTCTTCTTCATCCAAGCATCAATTCTTATAACTCAGATAGATCCACTCTTCACCATGTCATTATCATAAAATAACCTTCAGTCACGCTCCCACCATTTCCTTCCAGGGTAACTGCAATAGTATCCTACCTTACCTGCCATTATGCACCCCCCCCCCCCCCCCGCCAAACCTCCAATTCACTCTCTGCTTTGCTGGAAGAAATCTCTTCAAAATACAAATCTCATTATTTAGGGCAAATTCTTCTAATCCTGAAGTAACACTTTAATAGTTAAAATGCCATATATAATTTTCTAGACTATATTTTTTGTAGATTTATACAGTACTTCAAAACAGAACTTAATTGATAGTTAAAAGGGTTTTGTTAAAATCAGTAATGACTGAAAGACCCAAGTCAAAAGTTCTTTACCTGCTGTTAAAGTTACTTCAAAGGTACTAGGCTATATTTATATTAGAAAATTCAAGGAAAATCACAAATGTCTTTCACTAAAAAACTGCAGATAGCCAATAAATAGTGTCATTTTCTTAAAAACAAAATATATCCATATCTTGAGACAAATGACAGTTTATTATTTGTACCTTCACAGAGAGTTGACTAGAATTTATCGATGGCAGGCATCAATACTGTTTCTAAATAATGTTTTAAACACAATAACAATCAACTTTAATTTGCACTGGATTTTTTTAATATTTTATTTATTTATTCATGAGAGAGACAGAGAGAGAGAGAGAGGCAGAGACACAGGCAGAGGGAGAAGCAGGCTCCATGCAGGGAGTCTGATGCGGGACTTGATCCCGGATCTCCAGGATCACGCCCTGGGTGGTGCTAAACCACTGATCCACCCGGGCTTCCCTGCACTGGATTCTAAATAAAAATGCAATGTTTTTCAATGTTTATAGCAGATTAAGATATGTCTATCGTGAATAAGTCATACACAGTCCATAGATTATCTGCTATGACAACAAGTCTGAGCCTCTCAAACTACATGTTTAAACAAACTTGGATTTGTTGCTGGCTTTGCAAAGGCAGATGGAAAGAATTTCTAGCTAGGTACTCACCAGGATGGGATCAAAGTTATCATGATATGCTTTATGATACTATTTTAAATTATTTAAAGTGAAGCTGAATTATTTCATTTTTCTAATTTATGTGTTCTTCATATACAGATATCTAATGTTGAAAATAAAACCAATAAATAGTTTAAATGTGTAGCATGTTTCATTGTTTTTTGTGAGCAGAATTAATGTGTAATAGTTTTGGCATGCTGTTTGTGTTGTTGATTCTTTCCTTTGCTTTTCAGTTAAAACAACAAAGAGCTAATGGTTCAAAAGAAACTCATTTCTTCTCTCCACATGACTGTTGGAAAGATTCTAATGAATCTGAAACAACAACTATAATAAATTCTTGACTTAAAACAAGTTGCTTTACTCATAAATACACATTTGGAAGTTAAAAAAAAAGTGCTTTAAAGGTATGCATGATACAAAATATTCTATGCAATTTCAACCATGACTTCTGCTTCATAGTGACAGACATGCTCTAAAACAAAGTTATGACAACAACATACAAAATAATAAGATGATTGAACAATGAAAGCAGGATCATTATGAAGAATGCCCACTGGTGTTTACAGAAAGACTTCTTTGAAAATATCTTCAAAGTATTATACCTCAGTTCCTAACAGAATACTCAGCATATGGTGGTATCAACAGACATGTGGATGGATGGATGCCAGTTGGTTAAAAACTAGAACAAAGCTAGAACTCTCTTCACATACTACCTTCCCTCAACCCAAGCCTCTAAAGTTTTCTCAGGATTCCATCTGAATGTAAGCCTTATTTCTAGTGTACAAATTAAAAGTCAAGATCACTATGTGAAAATGCATGTGGAAAAAAAATGTACCTGTTAAAATATAACAAAAGAACTATTCAAAAGTAAGATGTTTTCATTACACATTTTAATAGCCATCATTTTGGTACTAAGAACACTGCATTGCTTTTTAAGTGAAATCATACTATAACCATTACATCCTGCATGTCACTTTTAGAAAATAACTATGGAACTACTTCTTCAAGTTCCTTCTCTAGATAAATAAAATTGGCACATTTTTCTCTATAGCTAGCATAAAAACACAAGTTGATTAATTTCTAACAAAATGATTCCCTTATCCTCTCTTCTCAAAGGAAGATATAAATGGAGGCCTGGGGACATATCATTTGATATTAACTAATTTTTTACAATTAGAAGTAAAATTGTTAATAAATGAAAAGTGACCTCAAATATCTGTATATAAAACTGAATTTTAAGAATAAAATATTTTAATGAAAATAGACTCATTAACTTCTATGTACAGTGTTGTTCGTTCATTTCAAACACAAGCCAGACTTCAGACAAACATGTAACATTGTTTTGATTGTAGTACTTTATAAATGGTTTTATTTTACCATTTGCCAAACCCCTTTTGTTGAGTTATTCAAACTAACTTCTGCCAAGAACACTAGGAATTTGGTGATAGTGCTTCTTTTAGGAGAAAACAACCCCTTTCCTCAGAAAACGAAAAATGTTTATCTTGGCACTAAAACCTTGTATTGAGCCTTCTGGAAAGTATTTTAAATTGTTGTTTTTAACCTAGACTTTGTGACTGAAACAGGAAAAGGTTTCATAGCTCTACACCAAAATACATATTTATAGGACTGATTTTCTTTCTACACCAAAAATACTACATTGATGGCAGCAGTTTTCAAAGTACGATTTCTGAGGACCAAGCTAAAACTTGGGCATTATCACTATATTCAATGTACAATTTGTTTTTTAAACCTCAAAAACTGACAACCAAGAAATGCTAACTGTTGGTCAAATATGCTATCTTTAAGTGTCATACTGGGGACTGCTGCGTTTAACTATCTATCTGTTCCTTTAGGAATTTTCACAAAAAGAAAATTTACTTGATACTGTATTTTTTCCTGTGCCGGTCAACAGAAGACAGGTTTCTAAGTTCTTATCTATTTTCTATTTTCCCCACCGGATATGTTTTACCTTAAGACTAGACAGACATAAAGATCAACCATGTGAATTCTTTGCAAAACTGTCCCAATAGTGTATCTGAATATAATATACAATTTTGGAAATTGATGAAATGATATAGTCGTTGTCCCTAATTCCTCTCACACCTAAATTGTTAAAATATAAGGAAGAGTTCAATTTCACAAAGACCCTCAGAGAACTGCAATGATTTTTCAGTCACTAATAATTGACAAAAAATATTATGTACCCATTACCAATTGTTTTTGAACATCAAGTTCTCCCCACCTTGAAATATGATCCATTTTTCCCTTTTAATGGTCTGGCTGTCCCTCTACAAGAATAATAGCAAGCAGCATCATTTTAAATGTGCATGTAAAATTTTTGATAAAGTCATAATAAGTTAAAATCATATTTTTGTGCTTATCAAATATTTATTAGGATGTTCTGACAGGAAATTAGTTGTTTTAAAATTCTGAGAAGTTGAATTGTCTTATTTAGGTAAAGAGAAAAAAGTAAAGATATCTACCAAATATTTCTTTTTTTTTTTAGAATAACAAAAAATACTTTACTAAAACATAAGATTTACAAAAGTTTCCAGATAAGCCATACAAGATGGTCACAAGCTTTTTCTTGAAGGAAGGATTCTACACTTGACAGCAAAGTCACAATGTTATTAGTGAGGGCTGTAATGTTTGTTTAATGTTCCCATTTTGGTTCAAATAATCAAGCTTGTCCATCTACAGCGTCTAAATAAAGTTAGACTTGACTAGAGAGCATATTCTAAAGAACTGGTTAGCTGCTTTTAACCGATGCAACTAGATCACCATAAAAGGGGGGAAAGGAGCCCATAAAATTAAAATAAAACTACCTCTCCCCCTCAAAAATAATAATAAAGAAAAACACCCACACCCCTGCAGCTAACCCTGACAACTACCTTCATTCACAGTGCTTTATACTTAAACCATGATGGGGGAAATGAATAAAAGCAGAGAGGGGCCACTGCTTTTAAACGTTTCACAACAATCCAGATGGTACTTCTAGCCTCTGCTCATGCTTTACAACAGTGAATCAGGACAAGACATAGATTTGCTAATGTGCATTTAATCACCAAAGGACTGAAGATGTCTGGGCTTTTATTCTGTAATGTTTCTAAGACTGTGTCCATTAAATGCAAACAAAAAAGGAAGAAGTCTTGGCAGAACAGGAGAAGTGATGCACACTTGATGATCAGATCGATTTTAAATATTATTCATGGCATATAGCCTAGTCCATGCTCTAGCTGTTTCTATGGCTTGAGCTTCGTTGGTCTTCCACTGCTCCGCTACATCATTTGCTAACGGATCATCTGGATTGGGAGCACTTAACAAAGCCTGGATCGATAGCAGAACTGTGCGGATCTGCAGTGCTGGGGACCACTTATCTTTCAAAATATCTAAACATATTCTTCCCAACTTGTCTACATTAGGATGATAAATTTTGTTCATGAAACGTACTTTAGGGGCTGCCATCGGGTATTCTTCTGGAAGGAATAGTTCCAGTTTAAAAGTCCCTCCCTCAAAGGGGGAATCCTGGGGGCCAGCAATGACCACATGAAAATAACTGGCGTTGCTCTCATCTGGTTCTGCTTTAATGCCAGGAACTGGTTCTGCCAGCAAACGCTGGGTTTCCTTGATAATCCTGCGGGGCAGCCCGGCCATCTTGTCAGATCCCAAGTTCGGCTTCAGCTCTCAACCCTGGCTCCGCTCGCCTCACGCCCTACCAAATATTTCTTATTAAAATCTGTAACTTTTGTCAATCAAGTACAAATTTTAACTTTAGAAGTTTGGTCCTTCCTGCTGTGGTTGAATTCTGCCTATATCCAGAAAAATCAAGAAAAAGTCTGTTCAAGTTAATGAAATAAGAGTGAAATAAATGGGAATTGATGGTATCAATAACAGTTATGAAGGAGTAGACTCTTCCCAATCAAAAATCCCATTGTTGTACTGTTATGGTTATAGAATGACAGTATCCTTTTCACTGGCCTTGCAGTCTTGAGCCATCCTAACACTCCTCCACAGGCCTCACAGTTTCAGTGTCAACGAGAAATCCAACTCTTGACATGAGGGACTAATTTAATATTTTAAAGACAAGTGATAAACACGGTATAGGTTACCTTTGCAGAAGATTTAGATTAAGCCCTACCATCACTTTTTTCTTATTTAAATTTAAAATGTTGACTGTTTGATAAGGAGAGTGAAGACTATCTAAAATCAGGTCCACAAAAAACAAAAATTCTCTTATCAGTATTTGAGACTATTATTTTACATATTCAGCTCTCAAAGATGAACCTGTATGTAGAATGTGAAAAAAACAAATCTTCTTTCCCTCTCTCTATTCACTAAGAAGCAGTGATTTATCTCTAACCACTCTAAGGAAAACAAAAAAACAAAAACAAAACCTCATGCCACTTGTGAGAAATAATTATTTAGGGAACTTTAGTTACATAGCTGATTTAAAAAAACCACAAAGGAACACTAATTTCTCTATTAAAATAAATATGTATAACCGGACATACCTGAAAAAGAACATGTACATGGCAGCTGTGATGCAGAACAAAAGGACCTACAACAAGGAGAAAATATATTACTTGCAAAAGAATACTAACATCATTTGTGTGTCTTTCTTTTTAAATTTTAATTCTAGTATAGTTACCATACAGTGTTATCTTACTTTTAAGAGTATGAGATGATTCATCAATTCCATATATCACCTGGCACTCAACATGACAACTGTACTCCTTAATCCCCTCACCTATTTACCCACCTCTCCTCTGGTACCAGCCATCAGTCTGTTCTCTATATATACTTAAGGGTCTGTTTCTTGGGTGCCTGGATGGTTCAGTCTGTTGAGCCTCTACCTTCAGCTCAGGCCATAATCTCAGAGTCCTGGGATTGAGTCCCCACATCATCGGTTCTCCCTCTCCCTCTGCCTGCTGCTCCCTCTGCTTGTGCTCTCCCTCTGTCAAATAAATAAAATCTTTTTTAAAAAGAGTCTCTTAGTTTGTCTCTCCTCTTTTTGTTCCCTTGTTTTGTTTCTTAAATCCCACAGGTGAGTGAAATTATATGGTATTTCTGACTTATTTCACTCCGCATTATAATCTCTTCATCTATGTCGCTGTACCATTTGTGTCTTATAAAAGCAAAACACCCATATTAAATATTGTGCCTGAAACTATTTTTTTTAAGTTTTTTTATTTATTTATGATAGTCACAGAGAGAGAGAGAGAGAGAGAGAGAGAGAGGCAGAGACACAGGCAGAGGGAGGAGCAGGCTCCATGCACTGGGAGCCCGATGTGGGACTCGATCCTGGGCCCCCAAGATCGTGCCCTGGGCCAAAGGCAGGCGTCAAACCGCTGCGCCCCCCAGGGATCCCCCTGAAACTAATTTTTTAAAAGATTTTATTTATTTGAGAGAATAAGCAAGAGAGAGAGCACAAGTAAGGGGAGGAGCACAGGGAAAGGGAGAAGCAGACTTCCTGCTAAGAGGGGGCCCAACATGGCACTGGATCCCAGAACCCCGGGATCATGACCTGAGACCAAGGCAGACACTTAACTGACTGAGCTGCCCAGGTGTCTCATGCCTAAAACAACTTAAAGATGTGCAAAACTAGTATTCAGGTATCATATTCTCTACCTTTCAAATAAACCATATAAGGCAATAATGAGTCTATATACACACACAGATAAACAAAATTATATACATTATACAATATGTTTATATATTATAATATGTATATATGTATATAGACTGGGTAGAAGGGTAACACGGTTCAAAACAGGACAACAAATTTTTTTATTTATCTCGAAGAATGCCTGGAAAAGCAAGTAACTTAAGAACAGAGACAATGGCATTTATGTAACGAAGTAAGCAAATAAATGATAACTGTATTAACTGTTATACCAAGATGACCAGACCTTTCAAATGTAAAATACAGTTCAGTTGTCAACCAATTCTCATCAATAAGAAAACTCCTAAAAATATAATCATCCTTTGTAGATATAGACTAGCTATAAGAAAAATTCCTCTAGCACGGTAAACCTAAATTTAAAAGCTCCCCTCAAACACATCACACTAAACAAAACAAAGTAAGGTGTATATAGAGGGGCACCTGGGTGGCTCATTCAGTTAAGCATCTGACTTGATTTTGGCCCAGGTCATGATCCTAGGGTTGTAAAATCAAGCCCTGGGTCCTTTTCCATACCAGGCTTGGAGCCTGCTTAAGATTCTTTCTCTCTCCTTCTCCCACTGCCCCTTCCTCCCTATTCTCTCTCTTTAAAAAAAAAAAAAAAAAAGTGTATATGGAAAGAATCCAGAATCTAAGTCCTGACCAAAAGCTAAGTTATGCCAACAAAGTGGAGCTCCATAAGTTGTTTCAAATCACTGAAAAACAGGGACACCTGGGTGGCTCAGTGGTTGAGTGTCTGCCTTCGGCTCAGGTCCTGATCCCAGGATCCTGGGATGGAGTCCCACATCGAGCTCCCCACAGGGAGCCTGCTTCTCCCTCTATGTCTCTGCCTCGCTCTCCGTGTCTCTCATGGATAAATAAATAAAATCTTTAAAAAAAAATCACTGAGGGGATCCCTGGGCGGCTCAGCGGTTGAGCACCTGCCTTTGGCCCAGAGCGTGATCCTGGAGTCCCTGCAGGGCTCCCTGCATGGAGCCTGCTTCTCCCTCTGCCTGTGTCTCTGCCTCTCTCTCTCTCTCTCTCTCTCTCTCTCTCTCTGTGTGTGTGTGTGTGTGTCTTTCATGAATAAATAAATAAATAATCTTTAAAAAAAAGTCACTGAAAAACAAGTTGTAAAATGTATTCTTATTTTAACAACAGTGTAAACTAAACATGGTAGTCAATGGCCTCTCATAGACAAATAAATAATCTTTCACTGTAAAAGGGGTGACCACAAAGTACAACAAAAATGAATACAATACAAATAATTTCTAGTCAACTTAAGGAAAGTATAATAGTTTTGCTATTACAAAATACAGTTCAAAGATTTGCCACCTTGGCTAAAGATAAGTACTATAAGCGTAACTGGAATGGCTCAGAAATCTATAAACCTACAAACCTAAAGAAAATAAGTATCAATTACTACAAAACAAATATTTTTATTTTTTATTATAGAGAAAATATTTTTCTTTATGTAAAGTATATAAAATCCTTCTTTTTTTAAAAATATTTTATTTATTTATTCATGAGAGACACAGAGAGGAGGAGGAAGAGTAGGAGGAAGAAGCAGGCTCCTCCCTGAGGCAGGGCTAGATCCCATGACCCTGGGATTATGACCTGAGCTGAAGGCAGACACTGTACTGACTAAACCACCCAGGTGCCTCTGGAGTTCACTTTTTTATACAGTACAGATTCAAGAGATGAAAATCTGTATGGGGAGAAGGGGGAATCTAAAGGATATTAATGTACAATTGATCATTTAACAGATATTTACTGAATTCCTATTATAAGCCACACACTATCCTTCAACTTACAACAGTACACAAGATGGACAAAGTCCTCGCCCTAATGAAAGTTATCTTTTAGTTAGATAAAAGTTAGTAAGATATCAGTAAGTTAGTAAGTTAGTTAGATATCAGTTAGTAAGAGCAGTTTTGGTGAAAAACAAAGCAGGATAACAAAATAAATGCAGGAAAATGGGGGTTGCTGTTTTATACAAAACATCCTTGGTCAAGGATGCAGAGACTTTACAGACACTGAGGAAATGGGAGAGAAGCATGGGGATTAAATCAACAGAACCACTGAAAAGGTTCTGATTTTTATTATGAAAAGTGTTCAGTATTGTGTCAAAGATGCTAAAGATTGAATTTTTAGTGACATAGTGCTTCAAAGTTTTCTAAATTGAATGTGCTAATTTACTAAACATCTTGACTTCCAAAAAAAATGCTTTTCCAAATAAATGTAAATCTGTAGTGAAATAAAGAAAATTTTCTGCGTTTCAAATTACAGAATTTAAAGCTAAAAGGAACTTAGACCTCTATAGTTTTTCATATCAGGAAACTAATATGAGAAGGTAGGTGATCCATGCTTACCCTACTAGTTGTATATTGCATTTCCTTCATTAAACAAATATTGATCAAATTAGTTACTCTACAGCTACTCTGTATAAGAATATTTAAATACAATTTTGACTCTCAAGGAGCTTACAGATACTGCTCCACAGTCCAGTTGTATAGCTACAGTTCACATGTGGCTAGTGAAATTTTTAATAGCTTTATTGATGTAAAATTAACATATTTAAAGTATTTAATTTTGTAAATGTTGACACAAGAGTGTATAATAAGTGGTATAATATCCCTTGAATGGAGATCCCTATAAAACCATCATAAGCAAGATAACAAACACATTCATCACACCAAAAACTTCTTAATAGCATTTTATCATCTTTGTATCTGTAAAACCTGTAGTGATGTTACCTCTCATTTCCAATACTAGTAGTATCTTATTTTCTTGATCAGTCTTAGTATTGATATATTAGCTGCATTGATTTTATCAAAGAATAAACTTGTGGTTTCATTAATTTCCTCTATCATTTTTCTGTTTTCTATCTCATTGATTTCAATTTGATCTTTATTAGTTTTTTCTCTTTGTTTTGGATTTCATTTGCTTTTGTTTTTCAATTTTCTTAAAGACAGAAATTTAGACTATTGATCTAGATTTTTTTCTTTTTTAATATAGGTATATAATGCTATTAATATTTCCCTAATATCTGCTGTACATGTATCCTGCTAATTTTGATAAGGTAGTTATTCCTTTTTATTCATTCGAAATAATTCCTAATTTTGCTTTTGCTTACTTCTGTGATCCATGACTTAGTTAGAAGTATGTTATTTAGTTTCCAAATATTTGGGGATTTTCAGTGACCTTTCTATTTTTACTGACTTCTTATTTGATTCCATTATGGTCACAAAATACTTTATATGACCTGATTATTTCTAAATTTATCAGGATTTATCTTATGTCCCAGAACATATCAGAATATATTCTATATATGAGGTAAATATCAATTGAGTATTTTTTTTAAGTAATCCCTACACTCAACATGGGGCTCTAACTCACAATGCTGAGATCAACCAGGTACACCAACCTCCTCAATGTGCATTTTAAAAGAATGCGCATTGAACTGTTGCTGGGAGAAATAATCTATATGTATCAATTAGGTCAAGTTGGTTGACAGAGTTGTTCAAATCTTCTGTATCCTTAATGATTTGTCTGCTTGTTCAATTACTGAGAAAAGTTACCAAAATGTCCTGCTATAATTGTGGAATTGTCTCTACAATCTCTCCCTGCAGTTTTATCAGTTTTTCCTTGATGTATTTTGAAGCTTTGTTTTTAGGAATATAAACATTTAGAATTATGTCCACTTTATCATGATGAAATTATCTTGTCTCTGATAATATTCTTTGGTCTGAATTCTGTCTGATAGTAATTCCAGATTTCTTTTAATACTATTAGTTATCCTTTTTTTTTCTTACTTTTAATTAATTGGGTCTTTATATTAGAAGTTCATTACATGTAGGCATCTTGTTGTTTCTCATTTTTTAT